GTGTATTTAGCAACGAGGATCCTCCGCTCTGTGGTATCTTCTGCCTCGTTTCGCAATAAGGCAAGGTTATGTCTCAAATCATGCGTTTCGTATCCTTTTCTTCTGGACCGTGATGCTCTATCGTGAACCTGTACATAGGAAAGAAGCATGCAATGCAATTGTCTTCTCTCCGCCAATGAACGCTGCTACGAAAGCAGACGATTTATTCCCTTCCATTTCTCCCGCACTTCCCTGTCATTGCTTACGAGCAATGCCGCTTCCTCTGTCGTTGCTAAGAAGCAAACGATCTTCTTCTACCTCCTCATGTGCTTCGCACTCTTGTTGGGACGCGCCGCGTACAGCTGTGCCGCCGCCTCCTCCGTCTCAGCGTTATCCAATAGCTCCGCGACAGTCGGGTTGTCGTTGAAGTGCGTAGGCAGTCCGCCGCCCAGGATGGTTTTCGTCGCCTCGACGCGCGCCATGAGAGACCACGAGTCGATGAGGACGACTGTAGAACCCAGACGGAGCTTCTCGCGGTAACCAAACGCGCGGTTCTCCCCATCATCGTCGTCGCCCCTGCGGCCCGCGCCGGGATCGGCCTTGGTGCCGCCCGTGTGCGGGTTGAACGCCGGACGGCTGGCGCTCGAGTAGCCGGGTCCCTTGCCGTGCTCGAGAGAGCTCACAATGCTGGCGAATTGCTTGCGCAGGTGTCGTCTGTCTCTACGCGCCGTCTGCTTAACCGACGGCTTGGACGCCTCAGCCATGAGGGCGATGAGCTTCTTGGGGTCGTATTGGAGGTTCATCGGCTCGCCCGTTTCCTCCTCGTGGTCGCGCGCCGCCTCGAAGATGAAGGCAATGTTGAAGCCCGCGCTCGCTTGGACCTCGACGTCGGTGCTGTCGAGTTGCTCTACGAAGGCTTCGATGGCGGAGTACACGTTTTCGGTGATGTCGTCTACTTGGCTGGCGACGAAGGCCCAGGCCTCAAGGGCGGATGTGACGACGTCGCCGTTGTCTGCTGCGCCGACTGCCTCGCCGTCGGATTCCACAATGGTGACTAGGTATTCGAGGAGCTCGCTTGCTGACTCTTCACCACCACCGCCGTACATTGTTGTGACTGCCATGGCCCAGATAGCGGCCGCCTTGACGTCGTTGTCGTCGTCGTCTTCGAGGGTCTTCTCAAGTTGCGGGTAAATGTCGTCGAACAGGGAGTCGGATGGCGTAGTGAGAAGGGTAGCTGAGAGAGACTTCAGAGACATGAGGCGCTCGAGGGAGCTGCCTCCGGACCTGGTGTTCTTCATCAACGCCGTGACGATGTCTTGTAAGGAGTTGCTGACTTGACGACCGCCGTAGTGATGTTTGACAAGGTGCAGGTAGGACATCAGGGTCGCCTCGCGCCTCTGGGTGTTTGTCCGCTTGCGATCTTGCAGCTCGACGATGCGATCCTGTAGTAATTGCGCCCAGTTGGGTTCTGTTGCCTCGTCCAAGGCGGTGTCTGAGTGATTTGACAGGGTGCTCATGGTCATGCCATCGTCGTAGTCGGAGTCGCTGCTTTCGTCTTCTGAGGCGTAGCGACTACCAGCGCGCGAATGTGCTGGGGAGTTGATCTGAGAGTGGCCAGGAGAGACGTTGGGCGAGTTTCTCATGGAGGCGCGAGCGGACTCGGGGCGTGATTTGGCCTTCTTGGAGACGGTCTTGCCGCTCTCGCGGAGAACCTTGAGTCTGAGGTCGTGCATAGTGGCGACGGTGTTAGGTGGAATGTGTGTGTAAGAGTGGTGTCTAGAGTGTAGAGAGAGAGAGAGAGGGAGAGGAGAGAGTTGCTGTGAGCGGAACTTCTCGTGGGAGAAGACTTGTATATGTATGGGTTGCCTGATTTGTGAGAATCAGGGTCTAGGACCTTCTGTGCTTGTAGCGCGGTGGCGTTTCTTTGAAGATGGTATTGCTTCTAATTGTGTTTTGCGTCTTTCTCCAATGATCCATGAGGTATCCGGTTTCTCTATATATAGGTCAGGTAGGAAATCCGGAGATAGGTCGAGACGCAAGGGTGAGTGCGTTGAAATTCCGGAGATAGATTTAGAACCGTACAGGTTGTTGATTATCGAGCGGCTCGACGAGTATTTGTGAGAGTTCAAAGGAAACCGCGGAAACTGGAAACTGAAAGATGGGCTTCGTGAGTCACCAGACCAGACCGTCTTTTCGGAAGTGAGGAGGAGCTTGGGGATTTTTAGGGCAACGGTGGAAAAAAAAAATAAGTTGTGGAGGGTCGGAGAAGGTTGGTGAAGGTGGTGGGTGGCAGCGATAGAAGAAGAGGGTGGCATTCACATTTCATCAGAGGGGAACCCTTGATTCAGCAAGGATGCCTGTCGGGTGTCGCACAGGGAGCGCAAAAAAAGAGCGAGCGAGCGTTGTGGATGACGAATGACGAAAGAGACTTTTCAATCGTGTGTAGGGCGAGACACGCAGCTGGATGCAAGGTTGAGCTCGGGGACAAAGCAGCAGGATGGACAGGAACGGTGGCAGCGGCAGCAAAACATCCGGCAAACAAAAAATCCAGACATCAGGCGCATTTTGCCCCTCCATTTCTCACATACTGCGTATTCCTGCGTACTGCGTAAGGATACATCAGTCAACTTCTGTCACTCCACACGCCCGAGGTCAAGGACTCCAGGATGATGTCTTCCTGTGGGGTCAAAGTGGGCGTGGTCTGTCCGCTCGCGCATTCCTGGGAGATACCCCTGTAAGCAGATCATCCCCCGTCCTTGGTTACGTGGTTGCGGACGGAGTGTGCTCCTCCACTCACTGTTGAACTTCTGCCCGTTGAACCGTATTGTTCCGCATTCGGGGGAGACAGAAAGCCATGGATGAATGTAAGGTAGCTTGCTGCTTGCCTTGGGTAGGGAGGTACTGCATATGGAAGGAACATGGGGCACTGCATACTTTTGTGAGATGGATGGGAAACAGATACGGATACAGGCAAGGTGATGTGAATCCAGCCGGCATCATCTGACCGTTTCCAAGTCTAGACATTCACGGGCGGCGCCAGTGAATCCCCCCATCCCTGGTTTTTCATCCGCCGCCTAACCAGATTCGTCTGGATCTCAACTCGTCCCTATGGCTTTTGTTAGAGATGGGCATGAAGGGAACCAGTGACAGTTTGCGACAACGCAGGGCACCCGGTGACAGATGAGCAGATGCAACCTGATCTGCCTCTACGGTCAGACATGATTTCGATAAGGCAGGACAAAAATATTGTCATGCATTAGGTACACGACCAGTAGGCCTCAGGCGAAGCAGGACTGCATCGTCCGCCTCGAGCAGACGTGGAGTAAGGCATATCATCTGTCACTCACTACTACTGCTGCCAAGGTACTTCCACTATTCTTGTTCGTCATCATTTATATAGTGCTGAGAAAATACTCTTTAAAAAGCAGTATGATACTTATAATTACAAGAAGGGAGGTACCAGTGTGTTGGCGTGTACAATCACCGAGTTGGCACCTTGAGGTCTGTCAGGATGCTTCCTGAGGCCAAAAGACATGCAAGGGTGAGGCACGGATAAGGTAGATAGATACCTTGGGAATTCTGCAAAGCATCATAGAGGAGCGCGCACTTGCGCAGATTGGGCTCGGCGACGTGGACGGTAGTAGCTGGTCCGGGTTTGAGGATAGGTAATTTACCAGAGTGACAAAGGCTGAGATGGCTTTCCTCAAGTGAGGTGTTCGACCGGGTTGATGAGAAAGCCATGAGAGTCACAAGCGCGAATAGCTACTTACACCATACCGGAGCGGGCCTTTCTCAATATTGGTTGGTACAACCTTGACAGACCACCAGACCTTGGCCGTTGGAGAGCGCTCTATGCCGCGCAGTCTACCGCTATGAGACTATTTATGGCTGCCTTAGAAATTTGCGGAGGTGAAGTCCGACTTGTTTGACAACCATACTGACTGCGGTGCCTTTCACTCCTCTCAAATCTGGAAGGTATCTCGAGAAATCGAGGCGAGGCAGCGGGAAGGTACATCTGCTAACCCCGCTGGCCTCCTTCACATTCCAGCTGTCAGGTGCCATGTGGTGAGGTCTAAGGTGTGCCCCTCTTTCCTAATCCCGTCATCACTAAATTGGAACGCCCCGAGCCTGATCTCAGACACGCACTGTGCATCTCTGGCGGACCATTCGAGGCAACGCAACTCACAGTCAGGTTCACCAAGGTACGAATCATTACCTTAAGCTGCCCCAATACGTTCGAAGGCAGCTCGGGAAGGAATGACTGAGGAGGTGGTCTCACCTTCCTTTCGTTTGGAACGACCGGAACTCGAGCCATCAATTTTATGGTTCGCAGGCAGGCCTTGTCGTCTCTCTCACTTCCCAGCTTCACCCTTTACCTCAATCACTCTGACTTACCTACCTACCCCTCAAACTACCTACTCTCCATCCTTATCAGCTTCGACACTACACTTCCACACTTCCACACTTCCACACTTCCTACCTTACCGCTATCGAGGTAAGTGGACGTGCCGGGACTGTTCGGGCCTCACAACCTCGCTGCTGATAACCCCACTAACCCACCTCACTACCTGACCAGACGCCTTTCCCCACTGCACCTGCCCAAGACCCCCGATATCCCCCATGCAACCTGCCCCTTCCGCGCACCAAGCCAAGTGCGATAAGGCGTTATCGCTGCCTGCACTGCCGCGACTGCCTGATACCGAACAGTGACAGCACGGTGCCACCTCCGGATTCCTGCCCCACTTCATCCACCTCGGCGACCTCGACTTCCAACTTACACTGTCTCGCTCCTCCTGCCTTACCTTTCTGTCTCCTCCCGCCTACTCCATGCCCGCTCATTAACTTCAGCCCGCGGAGGAGCTTTACTTTTTAGCCACTTTTCCCTCCTTCACAGCAAGGACGACCAAAACAGATTCCCATCTTCCATCACAAAATCCATCGCTCCCGTGAGCTCGGCCCTCGTTCCCTTCTTCAACCCACTCTTGCCAGATCACGGATACAGTCGAGAAGACATCGACAAGATGGCGACGGGCGTGAAGCCTCAAGCGGAGGACGGTAAGCTCGACGCTCCCATTTCGCTTTTCCACCTTCATGATCAGTCCTAACGAAACTATGGTCTAGTCCTGCTCACGGTTTCCGTCCAGTACCCGAGCCCCGAATTCCAGTACCCAGAACGACGAATCACCTTGGAGCAAAAAACCCCAAGCGTTGTGAACATCGGCCGGACGAGCAAAAGATTCAGCAATCTGGAGGCAAAGGCGAATAATTGTTTCTTCGACAGCCCGGTGATGTCCCGGGAGCATGCGAAAATCACCGTCGACTGGTATCACAAGGTATGTCCCTACTTGGACCATCTTTACGCTGACTGCTAACACAACGACTAGAAACTCTTCATCAAAGACATCGGCTCGCTGCACGGAACCTACCATAACTCTCTGAAGCTGCCTCCGCATACCGCGAAGGAGCTTACAACGGGTGACGTTCTGAAGTTTGGCATCGACATACAGCGATCCAACGACCTCTTTCCACCTTGTACGATCCAGGTGGACTGGGAATTCGACCACCTCGCCAAAGAAAAAGCTTCAGGGCTTGGCGGCCGCCCAACATTTTCCGTCCCCGATGATTCCGACTCAGAGAGTAGCGACGAAGATATGTCTACCACGGACGATATCCGCGCCACTGTCGAAAAGATTCGCAAGACCCAGATGCCTAGATCGACCACGGGCTTGGGTGGTTCCTTTCCCAGCTTCATTCCTCAGGGCCCAATAGACCTGACTATCGACTCTCCTGCTCATGAGCCCATTGTTATCGACGAAGATATACAGAACGATACAGATAAGCTCTCCGAACGCGCTCCCAACGCTACGCAAGATCAGGAGGTGACGATTGAGCTGGATGCTCCGTATGACGAAGAGGAAGACGAGGATATGCCCTCCAGCCATAGGATGAACTCGAAACTCCCTCTGATACTGGCATCGGAGTCAGAATCGGAGGATTCATACGATGACGACGAGTCGGAAAGCTATCCCGATGATGAACCTACAAGCCAGGAAATGCCGGACTCTTACGACGATGATATTTGTCTAAGTGAATCCGAAATTTCGGATCGCAGCGACGATTCTGAGGCCGAGAGCGAGGGCGAGAGCGAGGATGAGAACCTGACTGGAGCTCCGAGCTATGACGAGCTTGAGAACGTCCAAATGATAGATGGCGATTACGGTTCTCAACCAAACAAGGATATGACAGCCGCCTGGGAAGCCCAGAATCCTTCATTTACCTTCACGCAATCGCAACAGATGCTCAGCATTCCTCACACAAACTACTTCCCTCAGCCAGATGCTAGTCGCCAGTTCTTCCCCGCGCCTATGCCGTCACTCCCTTCTATTATACCTTACGAAGGTTTGCAAGAACAAGGACGACAGAACGACCTCAGACTGCCATCGATATTGAATCCTTCGGATGATAACGTTAAGAATCCCTTCTTAGCTAGCATGAACCCCGAGCAAATGCACACGTCTGCACCGACGGATTACCTTCTTCAAAGCGAAGGAGTAGCACCACTTCGTGCTTCATGGGATCGGGTCCCAAATACTTCCAAGGGTGTCACTGCCACGGAGTCTCTAGCGTTCTCGCAGGACGATGGGCCATCAGCTGAAGCCCTTGGCCAAGCTACTGGAAAGCCAGAGTTTTTCGCGGCCAGGGAGGTCAATAAGCAAATCTTGCGCCGCAATGAGCAAGATAACGATACGACTCCAGTCCAACCTCGCAGCCAGGTTCCCAAGCCGCCTGCGACTCCCATGGAGCCATCTACTTCGAAGCTCGGCCACCACATTACCTCCGATGCAGCCCCCGCACCGGCGCCAGTAAACGAAACGCCCAAGTCGGCCAAAGTGGCTGAGTCGGCCTGGTCTAGTTCTGGGGAGAAATTCCTCAATAGTCCTCAGGACTTCCCTCTTACATACGCAACGGAAACTCCCGAGCTTGACATGACCAGTGCATATCAGTTCCAACAAAGCAAATTGGGCTCACTGGCACAGACTGAGGATACTTCACTGAATGGCCCTACCGGGCAGAAGACCACTCCAAAGCGTAAGGCCAGTGAGATCTCAACGCTCACGCCTCATGAGGAGGCGATCGAGGCGGCCGTGAAAAGCGTTGCAACCGGGGCGCAAACAACGGCCGAACAGCCCATGATTGTTTCTGTGGTTACAAAGCCGACACCGGAAGCACCTCCCCCCGCTAAGCGTCTGCGAAGCTTCTTGAGCAAGGCTGGGTACTTCGTCGGTGGCAGCGTGTTGACTGCGGCAGGTGTCGTAACAGCACTTGCTGCAACCGCCCCTGCTCTTTGATGACTTGATTTGGGCGTTCTTCATCTTCTTTTCGACTTATGGCTTGGTTTGATTTCTTGGGAGGGAACTGGATCGGGATGGGCTCGATCATTTGTGTCTACCCGACTGACTATTCGTCGCGGCGTTGAGAGCCTTCGGGGTCTGGAATTGCGAATAAGGGAGTGACGGGATGGAACTATTCAATTTGATGATGCTTCGGCTGAGAGGGCCGGCCGAAGAGGACAACTCGATGAGGACTGGCGGGGCAGATTTTCTTACCTGGAGGGTTATGACATTACTAGGCTGCTAGTTATTCGCTTCTCTATTTCTATCATGGCTCTCTCCTACCATAACTATCGTTTTAGTCCGTGGCAGTCAATGCTTAGGTAACGATTTTTTTCTTTGCAAATTCAAGCTTCTGATGATACCTAACGCCGATATGAAATACTCATTTTATTCTGCTCAAGAGGTGAAACAAACCATTGCCCGAAGGCAACAGGGCCTCGGGTATTCGTTCTTTCCCATGACTGACAAACCCCAGAAGCATCTCGCGCGGCAGATTGAAGCTGAACTGTTCCGTTTGTTTTCTCTGGAGATTGCTTGGGGTTTGGTGAGATCGCGGAAGCAAGGGCATCGTTTAGGTATACGGCACACCTATGCAGATATGTAGTAGGCCCTCATTTCATGCCATGTTGGACTTTTACAGGTGTCATCTTACTCGTCTTAGTAGCAGTCTTGGATATCTCTCCTCTCACAACAAATATGTGGAACTCTCGATAATTGATCTAGGCTGCGAATGATCCACCCACAACCAACAACGGTGCAATGACCCTTGCTCAGGAAGCCTGTGAGGTTCACAGCAGTGTAGCCTAGGTACACTGAAGGCGTCGCCTTTGTGTCAGGTCATGCTATTGCTATTGTGCAACCCAACCCTAGTTCCCAGAGCACATATATATACTCGGCTCTTTCACGAATATCCAAGAGAAAAGGCTTCGAACTCTGCTACAAGTCTGTCCGACCCGCGGAAATATTTCACAGGTTCCTAGAGGGAGAGAAAAGGGGGGTGGTACGATTTCCATTCAAGGCGCTTACTCGTCTGTAACGTAACTGATGACTGTATGGTATCGTGTGTGTCGAGGTCGGCTCCTTCGCGTGATCACAGCCCTTTCGATATCGCTCCAGTAGCAATGACCGGGTAGTATTCCGCGGCGGTACACAAACCGGCTAATGCCACGCTACCTCGTAGGGTTGAGCGGGATACTCTCTCTGTGTTTCCCGTCGGTCGTCTTGCAGCCACGACGGACGTACTTGAGTGGTTCCGTTCCTCTGGATAAGCGAAGGGAACACGGGTAGGGAAAGAATTCGGCATTTGCTGCTGCCAGCGTAGGCTCGGTTCGGAACCGACTGTTCAGTTCATGTCGCCGGCTGGCTGTGGCAGAACAGAAGGTGAGTCTAAGTAACCCCGCCAAGAGACACTCGATATTCATCAAGAACACAAGCAGCATCGAAGCATAAGTCGTATTTCCTTTCCAGTTCTTCTATCCCTCTATCCTATCTCAAATACGAAGATTCCAGACTTCTACTGGACACGGCGTGCTTTTTATTGCCCAGGCTCCCGACGAACGCGGTGCCTAACGCAGTGGAACTGGGATGAGCCGTCCGCCCATAACACCAACGCCCTGTACCCTATACCTATACGAAGCCGGAGCCCAAACCAAACCTCGAGAAAAAAAATGAACGTTGTATTAGATATGTATGGAGTTTATCTGGTTGTTCCTCTCAGGAAACCAAATAATGGCGCCGGCTGTCGTGGTTTAGTGGCAGCCGGCACCGGCGACACCTTGACCCGGGCCTGTCGGTCCCGTCGGTCCCTTGGGTCCCGGTTTGTTATTCTGATCATCAACCCTTGGCCGAGAGCTCAGAGCTTGAGCTTGGCCAGCAGCCCCATGAGGGCAGGGGACTCTGACTACACCTCGGGAGTCGCATGTTTTGCATGGATTTCTGCGTAACAAGCGTCAGCGTAGAGTCCGGCAGACTCTGGATTGGGGATTGCCTCACCTTTCGTGCCCACCGCAATGAGTGCAGGTTCTGAAGTCCCACCTGCCAGAGTAGCCATCATCGATGCAGCCGCAAGTTTCATTCTCATTGCCCGCCATGACAGATGATGAGGTCGTGTTCCCACGGTTCATGATGACTCAATAAGATATGATAACGTTGCTAATAAAAGAAGAGCTTAGGTGTCGTTCCCAGATTTGATGGGTGCTTTGCTTTGGATGAAGTTCGTGAGAAAGAGAGGAAAGTGCGTCGCAAGGTGTTCGAGAGACAAAAGGAAAGAAAGCCTGATGAAGGAGGGAGATGCCAAGTTTTATACTTTTCTCCATCACGACACTCGGAGGACCAACCTCCCCTCAACACCATGAAAGTCATCGCACTCACGACGACCCTCCAACATCTGATCCTTCTTGTGTGTCGGTTTGCCTCACCGCCTTTGACCAGCAGCCGGTCTGGAGAGCATTCTTGTCTCCCGGGCCCTCAACGCCGGCCAAGACATCACCAGAGAGGACAGCTGGCTGAGTCTTGTGGCCCATGCCTTGCTCTCGACTTCTTCTTTCATGGTTGCCTCGTTTCATGCCGCGAACTAGCGAATAAGGAGACAGTGGTGGGTGATACTTCATATGTCGCCTTGATCTCCCTTTTGGGTAAGCAGGCATGCATTTTCTTCGAGCCGTCTTTAGAGGGGCAAGCTGTCTCGGCAAAATGTTGGATCTGATATTGACGTCAGCCGCACAGAAATACAGGGCTTACATATCCTGTAACTACCACCCTCGCCGATGCCGTGGTATGAGCAGCCTCATGTGCTCCCCAGCGCCCGCGTTCCTTGCGTCGAGCCTTTAACCGATCTTGCTGCCCCGCGATCTCCCGTCTAGTTACGTCCTAGCTGAAGACGATCTCCAGATTATCGTTTTGGAATAAAACCCGAGTCATTGTTCTCAAAGGACAATATGCGCGTCTCTTTCTTCACTCGGCTTCACCTGCCTCGGACTCTGATCTGATTCCTCCCGGGCTGCCAGCTGTCCCTGCAATCACGTCTCCAGTCTCGACCGACGACTGCGGCTACCCGCATCGACCCTTGTCAATCCTCCCACAAAGACGCACACCGGCACCTCGAGGGAGCCTTGGAAAGCTGCAGAAATACAGACTCATGCTCTGCGGAGGTTTCCATTAGACCTTCAAGCGGAGGGGAGAAGAACCAGGCAGTGGTCGATACAACCCGTCCACGCTGCGCGGGCTATCATGCGTTTCAGAGCTACCATTTCCTTTGGTGTCTCCAACTTCTCTACTCGCCCCTGATAGTGCGACCAAATGACGGCTTCATCGTCAGACCAAGCATTCAGGATTTCCGTGAGACCTTCCAAATCACCGAATCTATTTGGATATTCCTCCTCTCATCACTTGTCTCGTTGTTTTGTCAAGCGACACCTTGCGGCACGGCCCATGCCCGACGAAAGTCGTGACAACCACATGTTGGGCACGACACACGCATGCTCCCGCATTGCTTTCTCCCATTATATCCGAACTTAAGTCTGCGTAACTCGAGTTCTTCAGGACGAAGTGGTATGCCTGCGAAACGCCGACGCACAACAAAGAACCTAGACTCACGATGTTGGCCTCCTGTAATCGAGTCGTTCTGGTTTTGGGTGCTATAACCCATCCGCCCCGGCATGATGCTTCACCCACTATCTAAGGCACCCACCATCTAGGGAGTCATCGAGGTCTCGTCAACAGATTCAGCACTTCGAACTACAGCAGTACATCAAGCACCTTAAATGTCAAGAGCGATAATCAAGAAACGAGCACTGAAGCATTACAACCACCGTAAAACTAGAGCAGAATCCTTACCTTTCTATACAAGGCCCGATCTTTCCGACCCATCCGTTCATATCCTCGGCCGATTTCCTGTTCGTGCCACCCATCCTTTCCCTCGACCAGCAGCCTTGAACGCGACCGCAGAAAAGAATCATCTGACCTCTTTGTACCCTCTGTGACGACTTGTCCAAACCTCGAATGCCGAAGGGCAGGTGGCCTTGCACTCGACGACGATTATCGTGAAAGTTGTCGTTGATGCGATGCCGCTTAAATCCGCGCCAGGAAAGCTGCATGCTGTTGATTTCTCTTTTCTCCTGTTACATCGCAGAGCGCTTCTTCGAATGATCACCATGCATGTCCTCGACGACACTCCTTTATCTGGAGAATCCAAATTACAAATGGAGATTACCATGCACATATCACTCTTGCCGCGTGATTACCCTGCCGTTCCATCCTCCGTTTTCTTCCTGCCCCTCCTCTCCCGGAGACGACTCGAGGCACCTCATCACTCACGATATTTTCTAACAGGTCAAGGGTCTCCTTCCAACGACCCCTCTCTCATTCCCAGTCCTTACCCGTGGTGGCGTCGCTCACTGCAGGCAAACATCTCATCTCGGTGAGCGGGAGAACCAACGGGACCCCAGCCACCGTGGTCCTTTTGGCTCTTGGCCCCATGCGATGGGAGAGACAGACGCAGCGAAAAAGATCATGACAGAGACATGGTCGAGAGACGGAGAGACGATAGACAGTGCAAATCCGTAAAATCTAGGTCTGGGTTGAGCTTCAATTGCGAAGCCTCCTGCAGGTCTCAAAGTCGAGAACACGGAAAAGGAAGGAAAAAGTCCCTTTTCCCCGAGCCCCTCGACACTGTCCCACTGCGAACGAGACAACCAACGACTTTCTTCCGGTACGCATCTGCGCGCCTCCAATATATTTACAGCGTGATTCGGCACAGCCTACGGGATGTGAAGACTCGATAGGACCGGATCATCCAAGCGGCGAGACAATACGGAGCATGTCTCAACCTCAGCCCACGGCCTCATCCACATTCCGGCTGTCAACTGCACAGAAACGTCGGTAGTGCACTGTCACTCTCAATGTAGCCTTACGAGAGATCTCATACCCATGCCCGATCACTTCTTCACTACTGTGCGCCACAAGACAAAGTGCCCGCACAACCCTCTTGATAACTGTGTCGCTAGCGCTTGCTCGTCTTTCTGTCCAGCTAACATGGTTTTGCTTAGGCAGATTGGCGTACGAGTTTGTGCGACTTCGAGACTCGTCACCAGTCATTTCATAGGCTGTAGCCAGAGAGCGTATCTCGTCTGTTTTGCGAAAATTCCAAGTCAGCCAGGCGTCAGCTGCGGCAGTTGAGAGAGCACAGTATGCCAGGAACGCACTCATCCCGGAGACCGGAGCTAACTGAGTACCCTGTTACAAGTAGGGGGCACAACGCCAAGTCAACAAGCAGTTTTGATAGGATGGTCAAGAGATGACCATGGTAAACCAATCATGGGCATAGCCACACTGATAGTCACATCTGAAGCCGCAACTACGGCCGAGTGAAGACCCAGAGACAACAGTCGCCACTCCAAGAGCCACTCCAAGAGTCACTCCAAGAGAGTCCCGAGTTGTACAGATTCGTTGGTCTCGCGGCTGATTGGCACTGATGTATTACCGCTCCTTTGGTTCCGTCTGATACTCCGACTGGATCTGCAAAAGCATTGATGCCGTAACATTGGCATTCTGTAGGTCCGAGTCTACGGTGAGCTGTATATTTCGGAATCGAGATGGCCATGCCACGGATGTAGAAGACCGCGATGAAATGTTCATGTTTCGAATGATGCGCTACTGCGTGGCTCATTCATCAAGTACGACTGTTTCGCCGTTTGAGAGGGTCGACTCATCTTGGCTTGAAAGAAACTCAGCGGGAGACCTTGGGACTATTCAGAGTCCCGAGGTCATTCAGTCACAGGTTCGCTACAACAGACGTCGGCTCCTCAGGTACTACGTACCAAGACGGGAACTCGACTCGGGTGCTGAGAATAAATCACGGCGTAACAAGAGACAAGTGGGAATGAATTAGTAACCGCGTAAGATGAGGACGAGAATAAGCCAGCTTCCAACTTTTGAATCTACGGGCGTCGTAGGAACCAATACACGCTTAACCCAACCCCTGCAACGACCGCCACTCTCTCAGTCAGCTTGCGCAGCAATAACCTCTCGCCCGCGCGGTGACCCTGCTTCTCAAAAAAGTCTGCACCCGAGTTCGTCCACGGATAGGGCGTTTCCGGCACCGGCAAACCGAGGAAGTCACACAGTGGCACCCACCCATCCTTGGGCCCGGAGAAGACGAGCATCCTCTCCGGCGTCTCGCGCGTGATGGCCTCGACACGGGCGTGGTGCTCGTCATAGGGCCTACGCCCCGGTACCGCCTCGGCCCACCCGCCATACGCCGTGTCCATGATGAGCCGCAAGAACGGCCACCACGCGGCGCGGAAGGGGTCGAGCGGGTGCAGCAGCCGAAATACCAGGGAGCGGCGCAGCTTGAAGACCGTTTTCTCCATGGACGCGCGCCATGGCTCATAGTCGCGTTTGGAGACGATGATGCGGGCTTCTGGGTAGGCGGCGGCGAGGTCCTCGGCGAAGAGGAGGGCGTGCGGGCACTTGACGACGTCGTAGTCACCCAGGAGCTTGTCGAATTCCGCGCGGCCGTAGGGTTTGCAGCGGCCGTGGTACTTTGCTTCGATGGCTTCTGTCCAGAGGGGGATTGACTCTTGCCAGGTTGGCCACATTGCTTGGAAGGAGAAGACTTTGAAGCCGAGTTGCTCGAGGGCGCTGTTCAGTGCTGTTGGGTTGATGTCAGTAAGATGACATGGGCTACCGGGGTTGTTGAAGTTGAGGATGTCGGTGATATGTTGAGATATGGGATGAACGTGTTTTGATGGGATGACTTACATTCCGTTGCCGTCCGCGGCAGTCCGAGCAACAGCAGCTTCATGGGACGCGTTCTCGTCTTGGTGACGGAGTCAATGAGGCGAGGCTTTTCTAAAGGTTCCATCTTAGACAATGACGAGTCTCTCGTGTATACACTCCCGTGTGCCATCTTTTCGTTCTCTTAGAATCTTTTGGGAGCCTCTCATCTCGATTGAGGTTCTGCTTCTCACCCATGTGTCTTTATAAGTGAGCCCAGCTGTCATGTACCGGGGCTCACGGACTAGGTTTCCATTATAGCAAGGGGGATGAACTCAAATCGGCACAGACTGAGCTGACTCGTAATTGCTCATCCAGGATTCCGGGTGGGAGATCTGGACGAGGGTGTGTCTCGAAGGTAGTCCACGCCCCTACTCCCCTAGTCCTCCTTTCTCGCTCCGTTATTGACTTCTTTCGGCGAACAAGCCGTTCGAAGTGAAGACCGAGAGA